TCATGATGATGACACAAATGATGATGATAATGATGATGATGACACCGACAGCGGTGATGATCATGATGCTGATGATGATGATGACGATGATAATGATGATTGTGATGATGACGATGATGACGATGATGATGACGATGTTGATGATGATGACGCGGATGATGTTGATGATGATGATAAAGTTGGTGGTGAGTTGATGATGATGATGACGGTGATGATGATGATGATGAATCGGAAGATGATGATACTGATGATGATGATGATGTTGTTGATGACGATGACGATGCTAATATGATGATGATAATGATGATGATGATGATGATGATGTTTATGATGATGATGATGGTGATGATGACGATGATGTTGATGATGACGATGATGATGATGATGATGCCGATGTGACGACGATGATGATATGCATGATGATAACACAAATGATGATGATAATGATGATGACGACACGGATAGCGGTGATGTTGATGATGCTCTTGATGACGATGATGATGATGATGATAATGTTGATGATGATGATGATGATGCCGATGATGATGATTATGATGATGATGATGATTATATTGATGTCGATGATGACGATGAAGTTGTTGATGATGATGATGCTAGTTTGATGTTGATAATGATGATAATGATGATGATGATGATGATGATGATGATGATGATTATTCCGATGATGATGGAGATGATGATGATGATGATGATGATGATGATTATGATGATGATGATGGTGATGATGATGATGACAATGATGTTGAGGATGATGGTGATGATGATGGCGATGTGATAATGATGATGATATTCATGATGATGACACGAATGATGATGATAGTGATGATAATGTCACGGATGCTGATGACGATGATGATGCTGATAGTGACGATGGTGATGATGATGATATTTATGATAATGATGATTATGGTGATGACGATGATGACGATGATGATGACGATGATGTTGATGATGACGCGGATGATGTTGATGACGATTATAAAGTTGACGGTGAGTTGATTACGATAATGACGATGATGATGATGATGATGATGATGATGATGATGATGATGTTGATTTCGACGATGATGATAACGATGATGATTATGTTTCGGATGAGGATGTTGTCGATGACGCGATGTTGATGATGTTGGTGATGATGATGCTGATGTTCATGTCGATGATGTTGATGATGATGATGATTATGTACCTGTTGATGAAGATGATTATGACGATGAGGACGATGATGAAGATGATGATGATGATTCGGATTATGAAGTTAATTTGGATGATGAAGATAATTTGGATGATGAGGATGATGATGATGATGACGATGATGAAGCTGAGGATGATCATTACGATGATGTAGATGAATCGGAAGCTGAATCAAATGATAATGATTATGATCAGGATGATGACCATAATGATGATGACGATGATGACGATAATGATGATGACGCTGATGATGATGATGATAAACATCATCGTGTTCATCTACGTCCTCATCGTCATCACGATATGCATCATCCGAATCATCATCGTCATCATCATTATCATCATCATCATCATTACAATCATCAAAATACACGTCGTCATCATCATCTTAAACGTCATCATCATCATCATGATCAACGTCATGGTCATCATCCTTATCAGCACCGTCATCACGATAGGTATCAGCCGAATCATCATCATCATCATCATCATCATCATCATCATCATCATCATCATCATCATCATCATCATCACCGTTATCATTATCATCATGATAATCATCATCAGCATCATCATAATTATCATCATGATCATCTTCATTTATATCATCATCATCATCATCATCACGATAGGCTTCATCCGAATCATCATCGTCATCAACATCATCATCATCATCATCATCATCGTCAACATCATATTCATCGTCAACATTTCCTAATCACCGTCATCATCATCATCATCAGGATCAATACCAACATCGTCATCATCATTATAATAGTCATCAACATCATCAGCATCATCGTAGTTATCATCATCATCGTCATCATCTACGTCATCATCGTCATCAGGGTAAGCATCATGCTCATCATCGTTATCATCATCATCTTCATCATGAACGTCATCATCATCATCATCATCACCATCACGATAATCATCATGATCATCAGCATAATCATGATGATCATCATACTCATCATTCTGAAAATCATCATCCGGATCACAATAAGCATCATCCGAATCATCATCCTCATCATCATCTTCATCTTCATCATCATCCCAATCATCATTCTTTTCAGCATCACATTCAAAATCGTCATCATCATTATCATCTACATCATCATCATCATCATCATCCTCATCCGAGTCATCATCCGAGTCATCATCAACGTCATGGTCATCATCATCATCATCATAGTCGACTTCTTCATCAGCAGCATCACCATCGTGAACATTATAATCCGAATCATCCGAATCAACATCACCATTCTCCTCCTCCTCCTCATCA